ATATATCATTTGAATGCGGCGGTAATTTGTTTGTGTACGTCAGCAACTCAATTCAGTGCAGCGACGTCAATTTCAAAATTAGAACCAATCATAGGCCCCAAAAATGAGACGGCAACACCACGAAATATTGACGGCTCGCGCATAGCGATACAAACGCTTATCGATATCAGCGAGCGCGCAATATGCCATGAATATTGGTCAGAGGATTTTTGGTACAACAGCTGTCTCTTTAACGTATCAGTGTGGATGTCTGCCATAACAACAATGCGCTAGCGCAGTTATACGATTGTATTGGAGGCTTAGCACATTTACAGCAGTTACAACATTTAGGAATTTAGTAAGAGATAAATACCGAAAACGGAGGTATTTATCTGACTTCTTTAATGATATTATTCATGAGGGATCCTTTCTTCAAGGGGCCAAACACCGGCTAATTAGTACAGTCACACCGTCGGATCCAGGCAGATACAATGAAAGCAACCTGATGTGTGCGTTTCTTACAGGACTATGAGAAGTTGTTGCGAATTCCTCCGTGACAAGTGCTAGATTTTTTTGTACTTTGATATTTTGGCGAGTCCACAAGAGACTTGGCATTGCATTTTCTTTGTTTTTTGTTTATGTGTTCTATTGTTTGATATTTTGTTTTTGTTCTTGTTCACTAGTTTTTCGGTAAAAGTGTACGAATGTTTTCCAATGACTCAATTGTCTGCTTTTGTGCTGTCAATATGGACGGCATGTATAACCACGAGGAGCTTTTTCTTACTCAAAATTGTTTTTCGGAAGAAATATAACAACAAAATGTTAGTATCGATTCTATTTTAGACGGCCTAGTAGCTTGTGATGAGCCTGTTCCACGAAATTCACGTGTGAAAGATTTAAAGCAAGTAGTGACTGAGGAAAGCATCAAGGATGGACGGACGGACCCATCGAATTGCCCAGAAGCAGTAACGAAGATTTTGATCGTTGACGATGAAGAACTTGAGAAAAGGAAGGAATCTCGAATACCGCCAAATACAAGAATAAATACATCGTGGGCAGTTCGTACTTGGTCTGAATGGACAGTGGAGCGAAACGGAATGATCCCTGAAACGAGGGATTTATACAGATAAATCCCTCATTTATAATCAAATTCAATTCATCAGCCCCGCTCTTCCCTGCTG